GAAGTCATTTTTTTTTTTACCAATTTTGTCCAGAGCAACAATGTATGTTGTATTTAAAAATAGCATTCTCTATAAATAATAGAATTCAATAGAATTAATTGCAATTGTTATATCATTTTAACAGTATGAAATAGCAGTGTAAAAATGTTTCAATTATAATAAATGTATTCTCGTTTAATCTATTTACTTATACACACATATAAACACACACACACACACATATATATCTAGGTACATACGTCATTAAACGCCGAATTACGTAGTTTGCTACTTGGATATATATATTTATAGGATGTTTTATTTTAATTTTCCATGCGAATATTTAAAATTAACGAAATACGAAAAAAAAGTTTAATCAGAAGTTGTAGGATTTCTAGGGGGAAAGAAATTGGCGCTAATGACTTATCCTAGTGGGCGATTTTCAAGATCATTTGAAGGTCATTTATGATTTATATACAAAAATTGAAGTAATTTTCATAAGTAGTTGTAAAAAATGAGGCAATTCCATAAATAGTTTAAAAAAAATTAGATGACCTCAAATAATCTTGAAAAATGTCCTTTAAGAAAGTCAATAACATCGTAATTTCTTTTCCCCTCAAAATTCTACAATTTCTATTCAACCTTTTTTTCCTAGATTGTCTGAGGAAATTAAAATAAAACATCCTATAAATTAACATAATTAATGAATTATTGTATATAAGCTGTCGATCCAATAATTACTTCCTAAAATTATTATATAGTATTGTATTGCATTAAAAGTGCAATTTATTTGCAAAAATGATTATGCAAACAGATTTCAAAATGCCCAGTGTTCAAAGCCATTCAAAATATGGCTAACTTTTACACATACACATACACATATAAAATATACTTTTGTGCAACCGGCGCGCGAAAAGTCGCCTTTACGCACATGATGGGATTTTAGAAAGGGCTCTCTTTCCCACGCACTGGTCACACAAATATCGTAGCCAACATGTGCGGGTCATAAATCGGCCGATCGTGCGGATTGTCACACTCGGCTTCGCCTCGTGCACCAAACTTCCGCACTCTCGGCCGATTTACGATCCCCCGCACTTGTTAGCTAAATATACTATTGGTACATATATGTAAAAACATATATGCAAAGCCAGATTGTTATTGAACTAACTATATTATACAAAATATGAAAATAAAGTAAAGGAAAAATCATTGACTTTTCGAATAATATAATGCGCCATACAGGAAAAAAAGGAATCTAATAACATCTGTAATACATATATGTACATTGCTAATGGTTCCATGTATCATCTTTGTGAAAAAGATATATATATATATATATATATATATATATATATATATATATATTATTATATTAGATTATACGCAATTATAAGATTATAAGAAATCAATAACATGTTAACGCGCTTAATTGATTTGTAAAAATAAAATGCATGCTATTACAATAAAACTTATTAATGTTTGTATTACACAAGTGGTTACTAGAAATGTTTCAATTATTGAATAAAACATAATTAATTTACAATTTATTTTATTTAATATAAAAGTACAGGGTGTCCCATTTTATTTTTGAAAGTCGAATATCTATTATAAGAAAAATGTTTCAAATAAGTCACCTTTAATACTACCATATTTTTTTTACATAAATCAATTTCTTATAATACTCTGCGCAAAAAGTTATAAAAATAAGATGATCAAAAAGTGAATAGTTTACGAGATATTTTATACTTCAGTTTGATATAATCTTACATAAACTATCCCACATACCATATTCATTTTCCGATGATTTTATCTTAATAACTTTTATACATAAAATAATGAGAGAATCGATAGTGTAAAAAAAACAATTGTTTTTAAGAAAAAATATGTAATTTACAACTGTTATATGTATTTTTAAATTAAATAATATATAAACATGCTTTTATTATTAATTTTCATAGTTATCAGATACATTTATTATATATTTATAAACATTTTAAAAATTATTATTAATAATATATACGCCCTTCCTTTGCTTTGCAGCGCTGTGCTAACGCTTGTCTCTATTTTATCTTCAGTTTTAATTTTCTTTTCTCTATCGTAGCGATTCTTATCTGTATCATATTTGTCATTGTTGCTCCTCTTTTTATGTCTGTACTTGTGCACATTGTCATTTCGTTTTTTTTTATGTTTATGAGTAGATTTCTCTTTAGAATCGGATTTCTTCCTCCTTTTCTTGCCTTTTTTTGAATGAGAATCCTCTGAATCGCTGCTGGTGTGTGTGTTACTATTGCTACTATTGCTGTCACTATTACTAGTATCGCTACCACTACTGCTAGATTTGTTATTATTACTGCTTAATTTTTTCTTTTTCAATTTTCGTTTACTTTTCAGGCGATTTTTCTTTTCTAATACCTTCAGCTTCCTGTAATTAAATATAAGCTAAACAATCTCCTAATTTAATAAAATCTAAATAAATATCAGATATTTTTTATCAATAGAGTAAAGGAATATATATACACACCACACACATGCGCGCGCACGCACGCACACCACACGCACAACACACACACACACACATATAGGGTGCGTTCCGTTTATGCACTGCAAGTACTGACCGTACTACCAATACGTTCCGATATAGATAGCATGCACTGCGAAAGTACTATCATGAGTATATGACGTCATTAATTTTGACGTTATTTCCTGTTGCGATTACTGCACGCGAGGTAAAGCACTCGCAGTAATCAAGATGGCTACCTCCATGTGTACGATGGAACTAACTTTTAATTCCATATCTGAATATAATGATAGCAATATTTTTAACGTAATTTTTACATTTTATTCTAGGTATTTAATTTGTCGTCTCATTTCATTTATTAATTCCATTTCCAAATCGCTTTCACTTGATGACTCACTCGAATCATATATATTCTCGATTAAATTATATGTAATTAAATGCAATAATGGTATTATCCATTTCAACCAATTTTTCACTCGATGATTATTAGCGAAAAGGTTAGTTAAAAGTCTGCTGAAAGCGTACTGTAGTGCGTTCCGTTTTAACTATTTTGCAGTAGCTTCAAAGTGCACAAAATTAAAAAGGAACGCTGTCAACAGTACACTTGCATGACGTCATAGTGCCAGTACTTGCAGTGCATAACGGAACGCACCCATATATATTAGAGATTTGCGAATTATTCGAATTCGAATTGACGTAGTTCGAAATCGAAAGATTCGATAACGTCAAATCACTGCAATTCGAATTCGAATCAAAGAACCGCGTAAAAAGACTTAAATCCGTTTAATTCTATCGTTTAATTCTATACGCGTTGATTCGATTCGAATTCGAAATATGGGTGATTCGATTCGAGTTGTTTTTTTTGCAAATTCGATTCGATTCGATTCGAATTAGAAAATCTTGATTCGCACATCTCTAATATATATATACATTATGAGCCATTTTAATCAATGCATGTAAATATCTCGTATAGTAAAGCAAGATGACAAAAATGTTTCAAACAAAAATTTTTTTGACTATGGCCTAGTTTACATCAAGCACTTGATACGCGTATCAATTAGTGTATTTGAACTGGTCAGCCAATAACTGAACCAATTTACTAATAATTTACTATTTGATACGCGTATCAAGTGCTTGATGTAAACTAGGCCTATAAGGAGGACATAAATGGTGTTATTGATTTGACCTTGTATAATCATTTAAAGGTCACGTAAAGGTCACCTTCAATTTCTTAAATGGAACCTGCTATTTTTCATTACATCTTCTTATAGTTTATCTAAAGAGCTTTCCAAAATCCTAATAATAAAAAAATCATAATAAAGTGTTTTTTTCTGAAGTTCTTTTCAAGTTATAGGTTTGAAGTTTACAATTTTTTGGCATAAAATGTAAAATATCTTGTAAAATAATCAGTTTTCGATAATCACACCTCAATACATTTTTGCACGGAATAATGAGATCAATAATTGGTGTAAAGAAAACACAGTTGCTTACAAAAAAATATGTTGCAAATTATGTACATCCTTTTTAACCAACTATGTGTTTTCTTTACACCAATTGATTGGTTTCATTATTCCCCTGCACAAAAGTATTAAGGTATGATTATCAAAAACTAAATATTTTTATAAGATATTTTAACATTTTATGCCAAAAAATTGTAAAACTTTAAATCTTTATAACTTGAAAAGTACTTCATGAAAAAACATTTTATTATAGGATTTTGGAAAGCTCTTTAGATAAGCTATAAGATGTAATGAAAATAGCAGGTTCCATTTAAGAAATTGACCTTCACGTGACCTTTAAATGATTATACAAGATTAAATCAAAACACCATTTATGTCCCCCTCATAGTCAAAAAACTTTTGTTCAAAACATTTTTTTCTATCTTACTTACTATACGAGATATTTACGTGCGTTATATATATATAGTATGGAGGGTGAGCCATTTTAATCAACGCACGTAAATATAATATTATATATATATAATATATATAATATAAACTTACAATAATAATTTTTTTCTTCTTTCCTTTTCGACAACAATTTAGAAAAGATAATTCTGACTGGTCTTCATCTTCAGACCCCATGAGGTGCTCATGTTCTGAATTCGTAAATGCTGTTGTGCATCCAATACAGATCTGCAATATAAAAGTTAATTTAATAATTTATTTATTTAAACTCTCTATTCATATATAATTCTACTTTATAATTTATTTTACTATTTATAAATATATTATTTCTATATTAGAAATTACGACATAAGCTTACTTTTTCAGGGCCAGACCATCCTCTCGCATTTGTTGCACAAGTGTCATAGTATCTGGAGCAGATGATACTTGCGAATTATTATTTGCCATTACGACGCTCATTGCTTGGCTGTATAATGGACACTCTTATCTGAAATAATTTCTTCAAATTATTTTATTAATAATATAACTTGAGATTTATTAATACCTAACTTGAGATCTTTTAAAAAGTGATTTTATAATCAATAATATTGTAAAAATTAATTACCTGTATTTATGTGTCCCCATTTTTGGCATTTTAATGCATCTTACACGTTCCTTACTTGGATGCCAAGGGTTGATCTCGTATTTCGCTATCTCCTTTGCAATAACTTTCTCTCGGAGCATTATATTTCCGCTGCCATTCAAACTTGTACTCAGGTTCATTGTCTTCCTTCTCTCTTTCCTTTTTTGCTCCGGGAGGTGGCTCATACATAAAATTCACGCTAAGTTTATCCTTGCTCTCCTTACTAAGTAATGCTCTAAAAAAGTTTTACGTTAGAAACAAAATTATTTTTTGTGAAATAATATATATAATTATTAATAAAATAAATGATTATTTTTTATGAAATAATAAGGAACTACTTATTATTATGAAGGTCCTGCTCTTTTCTCATATTGTACCCGTAGTTCTTCCTGCTTCTTCTTGTAAGCTTCCGCTTGTTGTTCTGCCATCCATACCTGACATAAAAAAACATATATTTAGCACAAAGAAATATATTTTGCTCATTGTACAATTATTTGTATGCAAATAATGTAGTATTGCAACATAATATAATACACAAATACGGCAATTATATAAAAAAATATTTTCATTATGATAAAAGAATTGTATTAATTTTTATACGTACTCGTTTTAAATTATCTCGCGATGCTGGATGGAAAAATTTCTTGCACATATAATTGTTAAATCCTTTTCCCATTTTTACTTAATTTTTGCAATTTTTACAGTTACGCATAGAAATTATACATACATATACAAAATATATATATATATATATATATATGTAGGCAAAAAAATTACGCTTGGGAGCAATACAGCTGTATTTCTTTGAAGTATAGCGATTCTTGTCACTAGCCTTAATTCCTTAGCGTGCGGACCAATCAGATGCTTGCGCTTGTCTCAAGCTCAATTTGCA